TTACGACAGGTATCGGAAATTGCGACAATTCAGTGCTACAATTCACGATATAAGTGTCTAGGACTATCAGACAAAAAAAAAAATTACGAGCAGAAGTTTGATGTCAAGCTTGTCTTTCTAAACAGCAAGTTTTACACGAAAGTCAGGCGTTACGCTTAAAATTTGCTGCATTTTGATGCCATCGTCCTGGAATTGCCTCCAATCCCAAAAGCCAAATTTCAGGTATGACTTATTTTATGGTTAAGATGCAGATCGTTATCTCTTAGCTTAAGTTAGGACTGTAATACCGCGGTTAAGTTATGTTATAGCAAGCAAAATGGTTCTAAAACATACGCACAACAGCTATCTCGCGTACGGAATCTCAGGGAGTAACGACTACAATTTCTTAGTTTGGGAGTCGTTGTTAAGGTATCAGTATACCGTACCCCAAAATTGACCATTTTTCAAAGAAATTGTTTTCCGCTCTTTCAGACAGATCTTTTTATGGTCTTTAATTTTAAAAAACATTCTACAAAAAAATATTAATTCTATGCGAAGTTACAAACGAAAAACGTTTCTTTTCGTTAATTATCTCTAATTGATAGCTGTTAGCGGGTTGTCACGAGAAGTATATGTAAACTTGCAATTGCCGTCTATGAACTAAACGTTTGTGTTCGGTATGGTCGACGTGCTGGTCTAGGTTTCCGGGGGTGGGTGTTCTCCGTTTGTAGATTGTTGATTTAACCTTCGAAGAAACGCAAAAGTTCGTGCCATTTGCAAGCTCGAAGAAAGCACCACGGAGAAAAAGGTCGGGGGAAAAGGTTTCAAAAACAGTCGATCAGAATTGGACTGATGCGTTAGCTGCTAGCGACAAAGGTTGCTTGCACTGGACGAGGAAGACGTTTGACATTTTCTAAGCATTACGTTCTTGGTGCTTTTGCCGTTTGAAGCGGTAAAATTAATAAACCAATTTTAACGTAATCGGTGTCTCGTGGGTTTCCTTCACGTTGTTTACGAGTTTTACGTTTTAAAAATCGAAAGGAAGAAACAGGAGCCAAAATTATTCCTTTTTTTATTGTAATGAATACACCTTCGTAATTTACAATTCTTAAGCTTTCAGAAAATATATACTTTACTGGGGTTTGGATGAAACATCCGACCGTAAAGCGGCGTCACCGAATCATGGTCATTTGGGGTATACTGATAGTTTCCCTCAAAGGAACTCAGTCACGGTATTTTGAGTTATTTCGGCCACGTACACAATCAGCTTAAAATTGAAAGAAACCTGAAACTAGTAGTCTACTGAGATAGAAAAACACCAAAGCGATAAAAATAACCAATAAAGAAACAAGGTTGGTTAAGGATGGAGAAGATTAACACAGATTACGAACGACACACTTGAAAGATTTAGCGTAAACTTTTAGAGGCTCCTCCTTTACGCTTTAGTGTAGTGTATGGTGTTTTGAATCGGCTATTGTGTATTGCTACATGAGAATATTACCAACCCTTCAATCTGGCTCTGCTGTTTGCCAGTCGAGGTTTGTTTCATTTTGAATATAATACCGTCAGCATGTTTAATTAGTTACAATGTAAACAATGTTGAAATTCTCTCGTTTATGGCTATCTAGCCCTTCCAGCTACGCGACATCTGTTTTAATAAAGTTGCTAACATTTTACCGCAATTTGCCATCTGGCTTGTAAAAGAAATTGCTCATATTTTGAATCGAAATGTACAAATACCCTGTACTTTTACTGTCGATCTGTGCACAGGGATCCAAAGCTCCAGCTGTGAGCGATATTATCTTGTCTATGTCATCTTGCGCAATGGTAAAAGTATAAGACTGTCTGGGAATATTTATGATCGTGTTTAGGGATACAAATACTAAAAAGCACTCCATAAAAATACCTTCTGCTACCTCCACAGTACATTGCTTGTTGTCTGTTCGCTTTTCAGCTTATTTGAAGCGATTTTGGTGAGTTATCGTTCCCTGGGTTAAGAAATTGTTTCGCTGCAAAGTTGCTTCAAATCAGCAGAAAAAGCAAACAGACAACGTAACTGTCAAACCGACAACTTATTAGCAGCCTGAACTCTAACAGATCTAGAAATCAACCAATCACGTCTTCTTATTACACTACACGACGGTGGTAGCCATAGAAACACAATTACATTTATAAATGTGAAGTTTTTGGAATAACTTCCCTTTAAAGACGACTTACCAAGCAATGCATGGCCATAGGCTTCTAGCGTTTCTCCTTTTTCAAAGAATGATAAATTTTTGTTATCTCGCGGTCGCAGAAGACCTTACATGGTCTCGCTCGGCGTATTTCACGACGCACGAGAATCAGCGGCTTGAAGGCCACGTCGTTGAGCAGTTTGAGTCACCTAGTTCAATATCGTGCAGTTATTCTTGTCTGAGAAATCCCTGGTGTACTTCCACAAACTTCAACGTGTTATCCGGGAAGAACGACAGAGGAACGTGCGAACTGAACAAGCACGGAGTCCTCGATGAAAACTCTGAGTTTCATGAAAAAGACGGAGTGACATTTTCTTTGATCCAGAAGGTAGGGCATTATTAGCAAACGTTTTTGACCAGTTGTATTAAGGAAGTTCGCACTGTCTTCCTTTATACGAATATATCTTCGCAAACTCATTAATAATAAATCGTCAAGTTTAAACAAAGGAAATCATGACCGTGACGGTGTCTGGATATCTGATCTTAATTAAACAAGATTTCTCCCTAGTTTTCGTTTCGATTGAGAAGATATATCAAACACTCATGACAGTGTTTGACCACACTTCTAAACACCCCGAAGCTCGTCAAAATATTCCGCTGCGCGTCGTATTTTCAACTCACTTCTCGGTGTTTAGAAATGTAGTCAAACTCGGTCTTTCGTGTTTGACATATTACTAACAAGAATACCGAGGCGAAAATTTGCGAAATTTTAAGAATACTTTGAGAGAAACCGGAGGCTAAGACTCTAAAAAGAATATAATTTTGCCTGTTGAAAATTTCTTTAAAAAAATGCATAATACAATAACATGTTTTTACTAAAGCACATAAAATTCTTCCTTTCTCTAAACGGCAAAACTAGCTAAAAAACAACAAACTCGACGCTAGCCTTATGCTCGACGCTAACAACATTTCTGCAAAAAGTTGCGTGTGTCATATGGGGCTTTATTGACTGCAGCCTGGCTCCAAACTTACTTCAACACCATCAAAATCATGAGAATTTCTTTAAAAAAAATATCTAAGAACATTCACAAGAAGATTTTTAAGCTAACATCGCCAGAAAGAATAGTTATATAAGAACTTTGCGCGTGGGCCGGAAAAACCATATTCTTATTTTAAAAAAAAGAGTGTAATCCAGACGAGACTGCTGAATCTATCATTACTTTTGTCCATTAGAGGTCGCTTCGTGCTTAGGATAAAAAGTTTACTATGAAGAGCTCAGTTAAATTTGACAGTTATTTCTAAAAGCGTTGCCTATTCGTCAAGAGATCAGTAAATATGTCATTCTTTGCTTGAAAAAGCTTCGCGTAAAAAGTGTAATAAAACTTTTGATTATTCATCGGGTCTTTTCAGTTGCCAACCTCCTCTAGTAAAGAGTATGTCAATCTTTGTTTTTAAAGTGCCTCTCGTGAAAAGCACATGTAGTTGAAGTTGAACATTACAATCTTCGCACCAAATGTGTTACTCGTGAATAGTTCATGATCAGTAAAATATATCAGCACAGTGTTTCAAATGTGCCATTTCTTGTTCCAAAAGGACTTCTCGAGATCAGCGAAGTAAAACGCTTTTCGTTCTAAATGTGTTTCTCGTGAAGAGCTCAGTAAAATATTTACTCTTCGTTCTCAAAGCACGTCGCAAACTGGCCCAATAACACATGACATTTTCTTCTTTCTAAAAGTGCCACGAATGCGCGCTTAAGTACTACGAGAGTTAAAATGTGCGCTTGTTGAAACCCGGGACCTCCCCTGCTTAATGTAAAATACGGTTCTGTCCGTATAAATTATAGCTTATTCTAATTCTAGCAGTCCTAAACAAAGAAAATACTCCCTCAGTGTACCAATGCTCGACGACACAACCTAAAATACTACCTGACAAATTACAGCTTCTTACTAATGCGCCAGCACTGTAGTCGATTCTTAATGTTTTAAGCAACAAGGTGAAAAAGCATACCAATGAATTTTTCGTTTGTATCACTCCTTTTTCATCTGCAACGTAACGGCCTGGTAAGTTTTGGAGGATTTTCCACCGATGGCCTTTTCCAGCTTTTTCAAGGTTTTATACAAGCCGCAAGGGTGTCCGGTAAAATTGGATTTTGTTTTTCTGGATTAACTGCAGTCCTCCAAGTCTATTTATTAAGTTTAAACCAACAGAATGATGTCCTTGGCTGTTTCTGGATTTCTGGTAGTTTTGGCATAGATTTTTTTACCATATTATGGTTACATTTTCTCCTCTTAAACCCCATTAAGGCTTCGATTTAAAAAAAAGAAAAAAAAAAAATATTAAACATTCGAGACAGTGTTTTTATCTCGAGAATCGTCAAAAATTATCTGCTGCGCGTCATATTTTCAGCTCTCTTCTCGTTGATTGGAAATGTGGTAAAACACGGTGTCTCGATCGTGTGTAATGCATTACTGCGCATACAGCTACAGATATTCAATTGCTTTTGATATTCTCTTCGCCTGCTATTTTGAACTGTAGGGATGTCTCATAACCGGCTGTCATAATGGTGGCGTTTGTGTAGCTGACGAGATGAAACAAACATTTTCATGTTTGTGCCAGGTACCGTGGGCTGGAGCAAAATGTGACATTAAAATCGGTAAGAAATGTAAAAGCTCATACGAAGGCAACAGAGAGATGCTGTCAATGGTATTGACTGGGTTGAATCATTTCCTTTAACAATCTACACGTAGGTTTGGTGACGGATTTCCGCTGACCCAAATGCATAGTCGTCATATCTTCGATGGTACAGTAGCCCGTTTCCGAGTTGCTCTAAACGTCTCTATCAAAGCGAGGCCTTATTAACAACTTTCATATGAAAATGAGTTTAATTTTGCATGTGAATGAAGTCTCATTTTCGTATGAAAGGATAGACACCAAGACTCGCTTTGAGAAAGAGCTAAGGCTCAAGGTAATTCGAACCTTGTCGAAGATGGCGGCAGAGGGACAAAGTTCCCGCAACAAACCTTGGAAAAGTACAACAGTGATGCCAATTGCAAATATTTCTTAGTGCTAAAGATAACTTGGAGTAAGACATAATTGTCAACAAATGAAACAAATTACGTATAAGAACGCTTTGGCTATTTGCCAAAGTATTGAATTAATTTTTGACAACTTTGTAACATCTTTAATTTATTCATCTTTCAGATGCCTCCTCGTGCGACGAGGCCCAAATGAAAGTCAACCGGATGTTACAAAATGGAGAATATCTGTTAACAATTGGAAGCTTGTCATTAAAGGTAAGCAAGATTAAAAAATCATTACTTCCTTGTAATAATATCATAACGCTGCGTGCCGCTTATTGTTGTAGCAGCCTAAAGGTCGGAACACACGAGGGGACCAGTCCCTGTGACTAGTCGCTGCAGCTAGTCCCCTGAAGAGTTTACATGAAGGGACTGCTCGCAGGGACTTGTCCCACGAACAGTTCACACGAGGCGTTTTGAGGAACAAGTCGTGGGGACTTGTTCCCACAAATTCAAACTGGTTTGGATTCGTGGGACTAGTCGCAGGGACCAAACTTTGCTCCCTGCGACTAGATTTTGAAGCAAAAATGGCCAGTTCACACCATGGGACTTCTCCCCGCGACTTCCTGCAGGGTCTAGTCGCAGGGACTATCCCCCTCGTGTGTGCTGACCTTAAAAGTAAAGTAAGCCGTCTGTTGAACTCTACCCTACCCTACCCTACCCTACCCTCACCTCACCTCCTTCCCTTTCCCTCCCCTCCCTTTTCCCACCTTCCAAACAGCACCACCACAAGCACCTTTTTTGAATGTTTAAATAAATTTTAACTTCCTTTCTTGTTGCTTATGAGTTTAGATAACATGAGCAAGGAAGCTAAAATTTTTGAAATAACCACCATGTTGACCAACCGAGTTGTAGTTTTATCGAGACGTGAGTAATGGTGTTAAAACATTTAGGACTAAATTGGCCGACTTTCTCTTTGTTGTCTAACGTGACAGAAAACGATAAAATTTTTCTTCCACAAATGCATTTTTGTTTTTAGTAGGTGTAACTGTTGCTAGGTGTTGCCATGGTAACCTATTGTGTCATAAAAGTAGTAACAAAATGTTCACCAATGACTGGGCAGTTTGTTGATACTATAAATGTAGCATCAATCGACAAAGAGTGGTTGAAATGACCTATCAAAGTGCTGGAAACTGTTGCCAGCCACCTTAAAAGCCCGTCACCTCTAATTACACGTACCAAGAGCCTTCAATGTCATCGCTTTAATTCACTTCTTCCGTATTAGGTGTACTGTCACATGACAGATGATGGTAAAGGATGGACTCTGATCGCCCGATTCTCAAATAGTGACATAAGAAGGTGGATGTTTGACTCCGGACGCTTCTGGTGCTTCAAGATTAATGCCCTTGGAAACACAACTAGTCCGTCGATAAACGCTGACATGATCTCTACCGCATTTTGGTTCGTCAG